GCGACTCCACCTATGTGAACCCCCTTACTTCTAGCATCATTATTTTCAGCCAGACAGGAAATCTCACAATGCGCAGCACCATCGTGGTCAGGATCTTCAGGAACCCAACGGTCAATCTGTTCTATTTCTGGCCCCGTACCTTTGACATACCAGTTTCAAGGGCGGTATAGCACAGTAGCTCATGGATGAGTCGCAGACTTCATACCTAATGGTGATGTCTTTTCACTCTTTCCTCCTTCGGCTCTGTTCGCTCGCCATTAGCATCGTCGGAACCAGAAAGACAGATTCAGAGGAACCGTGTAATCGATTTTGCTGTTATTTTTTGGCTTAGTGTGAGGAACGGCAGCGGAGTTTGCGGAGTATTACATCTGTTTCCCCTTCCTCTTTCGTCGATGGGATGAGTCTTTTGCTAGGAGTAACGACCCACCATAATGATGTAAGCGAGGCTCATAGCTCCATACACAAATTGCAAGTTGAGTTAATCACTTATGTATCCGTACAAGAAGAGAATCTCTGTAATAATGGTACTCCGTATCCGTGGGTACAGACTACGGAAACTTATACGGATGCCCATATTCTGGAACCAGACCAATCATCGAGCTCTTAGGTATCCCGTCGGATCACAAAGCGAAGCCCTACGGAGTAGTTCAAGCTCATTCATCAAAGCTCAGTCTCCATGAAGCGATCGAATACGGGATTATTGCGATAGCTCTTTCGGCTTGCCCAATACGTTCTGGGAGATTTGCAACCAAGGTCGGAGTAAAGTCGGTCCTGACACAGAGTACAGCGTATGGATGTTGTCGTAGATACTTTGTGCAGGGGTGGATTCGCCAAACTCCCAGCATTCACGCGACCATGGACCAGAGCTTTTATTTTTGTATTGGTAGCTATGAACACCAGTCACTTGATTGAGGTCTCGCCAGGTTATGCAATATCTGAGTCCATGAATCGCGTGGCGATCTTGGGGTAGCGTAATAAAGGACCTAGACGGGCTAGACTAGTGTCTATGGCAATACCAAGGAGAGAAGTTCATGGAACGAAACGATCAAACTTTCAATTTGGTCGAGCATAGACCTTAGGTACTAGCCATGTGGTCAACTGCGCTGAGACAATCTCCGGTCGGGATCGCTAGTTATGGTCTATTGTAGAGTATAGATTAGGATCCAAGACATTCTCGAAGAGAGTAGAATATCGTTCCCCAGAAGGAAATGATTCCCCGAAGGCACTAGTTTCGATGTCCGAGGTATGGGCTTCTAGATATTCCATGAGACGATCTAGCGGATTGTCTATTAAGTGTTGGGTCGGAGGATGTGGATATGGGACTGGGACTCTGGGAGGTGTTTTGTGAGGAGCACAAAACGACAGGAGACCTTCGCTTTCCGACGGATAATCCTCGGCTTCAGCAGGGAAATCAATAATGGACGCTAGGCCGTACGAGACAACCAATAGTTGCGTGGATTATTATTATGCCTCAAAATGACATACGAATACCATATCTAATTCTACACTTACAAGTGAGTATGTAATAGCAACTGACTCAGACTGATTGACAACACAGCTACGGACAAACGGGAACATAACTGGATTTGTCTGAGCTGCGTACAAAGGTGCAGGGGGTATCCTACAGCCTCACACGTGACAAGGCAGATCCAGCAAGCAGTAAATGGAGTCATGGACTCAATCGGAAGATTAGTGTACTGTATAAAAACAACTGAAGATTAGTTCTGACTTGAACACCAAATTATGCAACATTTGGGCTTCTGCAGACTGGTACATCTAGAGTCCATGATCCTCATGTTCTCCGTACCCGTACTCCATCCTCCCAGAAGATCATCTGGTTCCAGAACATATTGACAGTGTGATGATCTTCAGCTAAATTATTAGGTAGTAACAAGGCCGGTCGTGTCCATAACCCTTTTGGGTAGTTGGTTCCCTGGGTCGTCGGCCGAGGCATCTCGTGCACATGGAACCGGTAGAGCCAAGACATGGGCCCAGAGAACTCTCTTACTACTCCGTATATTGTCTTTGTTTTGGATCCATGGACGACTGTGATCTTTTCATAATAACGAACTCAAATCAAGAAACTTTACTTTCCCTTCAAAGAACAAGCATCTAATGCTCTGGCAGTGGCTAACCAGTGTTTGGAATTGGATTAGACTTTCATTTTGATCGGTCGGCATCTGTGTACGGCAAGCAGATCGGGGGGTACTTTTGAATCCAGGATATACGGCTCTTCTATCAGCACAGATAGTACCGATATGCAATCTTCAGTAACGACTCGGCGTAGGAGAGTGACTACTGTTACGGCGTACTATTTGTGCGTATGACCTATCGAAGCTGCTTCCCCTGCATGGGCGATCAGGGCTGCCAACATCCCCTCAGGTTCGATCAATGATGCAACAGTCAAGGAGGTGGCCTGTCTCTGGTCCTGTCATGTCTCATTTCTTCCGTTTTTGTTTTTTTCTTTTTGTTGGACAGCGCTGAAGGAATAGAGCCATCACCCTACAGCCCCCTTGGAAAAAAGAAGCAAAAAGAATAAGTGATACGAGTTGCTCTCGGATACGGAGTAGATACGTAGTTACGTAGCTAAGGTACCTCATTGACCCACCTCTTCCAGGTTAGTAGCACAACAAGATTGACGCTCGTCCAAATTTCGCTTGAGATCGTCTGGGTTTTTCGTTGGTTGCCAGCGCCACAATAATCTCCGGTTCCGTCAAGACACTAAGTCCTTATGTCTTTAGCCCCCAAGCGAAAAGGAGAAGGAAAATCGTTCAGAAATTCCCTTCTGGGTGGCTGGGGCTAGACTATCTCTGGATTAGACCTTGTTCCCCCATCGTGCTTGCGAGCCCGCAACTCCGTCATCCACCCCCATGGACTTGGTTGGAGATGGGGCTATCCAGGTTGATAGTGGCATCCAGAACGGAGATATTTCCCAACTGGGACAGATGTCTCCTGTCGCTTCAGTTTACTCGTATATATATATCCGTACTTTTTATTTTATTCTATTTTTATTTTTTTCTTCTGTTTTTTTCCTGTTCATCTTATGATTTGCTTTGTCTGCTCATTCCGGTTTCCTTCTCTCGGACAGACTATGATGTATATATTAAATCAAATTAAATCAAGAAGGATTAGATTGAAATCCAGCTAATCTCGGCGGATGGGGAGGATCATCAAACCGGTGATCCAAGCATAATCCAAAGTTCGAATGCTGAAACAGTAACCTCTACGGCGAGCCCGAAGGCTAATCCTAACACGGCTGGCATCTTCACCACTGGAGCATGTCTATCGACCGCCCAGGCAAAAGGATCTACAGTGGATTACGATTTTGGTTTATCGGTTTTTATGATTGGAAATTGGACCGTGAGATCAATGCTCTCAGGAAACTGCCAACGCGTGATCGTGCGGCAACGATCAGCCGTTTATGGGGCATGGGATCGTTGTGACAGGTAAAATATTCTGTCTCCAGGATCCACTTGGAGGGATCGGCTAGCGAGTCCATTCTCAGTCTGATGGCGGCAATACGTAACTTGGATGGGCCGTGTACCGTTTACTGTGCTGGTCTCCCGCATAGGAATACTTAGGATTTGCCATGATTTGCACCCAGAGTAAAATGATGATCGATGATTTGAATCTCAATAAGTCGTGAGGCTAGAGTATCCTTGGATCTGCACTAGGGCCAGACCTTCTGTAGCCGAGCCCCAAATACACAACGCAGTACGGACTACGTACGCCAGGGTGATCAAGGTTGTCAATGTCAGGCCTACCAGTGACTGCTTCAGAAGAAGCAAGAATGTTTACAGCAACTTCCCTCGATGATGTCTCTTATGACATGGAGAGCACGACGTGGAGATTTCCAGCATGCAGGAGGTTGATCAGAGCATACAGTCAAGTCGCACTTTGACGCAAAGCTAAGACCCCGTTGAAGGTGAAATCGCAAGCTGGAACAATCCAATGAACGTCTCCAAATTAGCCGGGGTACGGTGGCCTCTGTAAGAGTGGGCCGGGAGGCGCACGTTTTTTTAGCTCTCGTCGAGCCTACCCAAAACAATACAAACTAATCGCACATCATCTGTCCATCCACCCGCGCACTAGCCATACAGAGTGTTAACCGCCGGGTACGAGACCACGTCGCAATGTATGCATTATTGGGTGAGAAAAAGCAAAAAATGAATATTAATCTTACCACCACACCTTTTATCCAGGCTCCTGGTGCTCATTAATTAAGCTTTGGGATGGAGGTATCAACCCCCCTGGTGAGGCAAACCGAAACGAAAATACAGGATATTTACATTACCGCCCTGCTGGCTCACGGAAAACATGTTTTAAATGTACGGGTCCTTAGGTGATACCATCTATTACCATGTAATACACAACCCACTGTAGCGGATCAGTCTTTTTTTTTTAATTTTTATTTTTCATTTTTCGTTTTCATCTTTAATTTTTTATTTCTTATTTCGCCTTCTAATACCCGTTCCCGAAGGAAAAGATATTAAAAAAAAAGATCAAGATTAAAAGAAAAAGAAAATAAAAGTAAAATAATATCACTGGCTCTTATTATCTTCTTCATAATTACCATCATTATAATTAAGGAACAGGTTCATGTTGGTGGCCTCCTGTCATTCGGCTACGTCCATATCGTGCTTGTATTTTGACCTCCGCTCGCTCCTGGCAGGCGGGAGTTACGGTGCATCATCATCTCGGTACCAAGTACCAAGCTATAATTATATTTTGCCTTTGACTTTCCCCCACCTTATCCAGCAAATCTCCTCGTCTGGAAAGTATACACCCCATTCCATCCCCCTGTTCCCAGACAACATCCCCACTTAAAGAGGAGACAATCTGGATTGGCCCTGAGCTTCAAGTAGTTCACTACTCGCTCTACCTTCATATATGGTTCCACCGTAGCCATCTTTCCTCCTCTTCTTCACTCTCAGCTTCCACCGCATACCATTGAGTCCCTTCCCATTATATCGGCCGCTTCATACCTTTGCGCAAACAACATGGATGTCGCAAGCCTCATCTCGCCTTCTGAATCGGATACAGTGCCGACCTTCAGGTCAAGATCCATTCAGAATCCGTCTGCCAGCCAATACAAGCGCTTTTCCGAACAATATACGGGCTCTTACTTCTCTGCTGTACCATCACATACGACATCTTACTCTCGTACGCCTCAGCCACCGCTATCCCCTCCAGCCGAGGACCAGCCCAAATTCTCGCTTCCTTCCATATCGATTCTTCTTGAGAATGCAGACGGTGCCGCCGCACACGCAGCAAGTATGATCTTTCGCAGTCTAATACCTCATCACAAAGCCCAGTATGACTGACTCACAGATCGCAGAACGCCAAAGAACCAGTCTGTCAGCGCACAGGGATTCGGACCCCCGGCCTCTATCGCAGACATATGACTCTATCACACCACACGCCATGCCACCAACGCCGCCACTGCGTCCTGGTTCGGGGTTTCACAGTAATGGCCATTCTCCCTCAGCATCATCTGTCTCTGCCACCAGCACCAGTGCTGTGATGAAAACCACCGAAACGTATTCCCAGGCGCCAATTGGGCTTCCTAGTCCGTCGGATCGATCCTCTATCTCGAGTCAAGGGTCCGTTCAGCATGTCGCCGGAGCTCCATATGCCTCCCCTGCTCCCAGCGTGTCATCCTACTCTTCTCCCATCGAGCCCTCTACACCATCAACTGCCGCTTACTACCAGAGAAACCCTGCGCCAAACGCCTTTCAAAACGCAGGCACCTTCCCTCCACCATCTGTGGCATCTCTTCCCTCGCCGGGTCATCAACAGATGATTTCTCCCGTCACCCCCGCCTGGCAACATCACCACTACTTCCCCCCGTCCAGTTCCACGCCTTACCAGCAGAACCATGATCGCTACATCTGCCGGACGTGCCACAAGGCCTTCTCGCGGCCCTCTAGTCTGCGCATCCACTCTCACAGCCACACTGGCGAAAAGCCTTTCCGCTGCACACATGCTGGTTGCGGCAAAGCATTCAGCGTCCGGAGCAATATGAAGCGTCACGAGCGTGGCTGCCATACGGGTCGCCCAGTTGCTACCGCCATGGTTCAATAGACTGCGACTGCGCTTTCAACGATCAATAAAGCCACCTCAACTTAGCTGGACCCCCAAAAAGCAGAAAGAAAAAAAGGAAGAAGAAAAAAAAGATAGGAACAAAACTACTCAACGCTCTTCTCACCACCAACCCCAACCAGCGACGATTGCTCTGCCTCTGCTCTTTCATGATACCCTCTTATGCGTGCGCATGTTTTGTTACAATTACTTTGTGGCTAGGTGTCCGGGGATGGGCACAATCATGCAATTCTCTTCTTCTGTGTATATTTTTACCTTTTATTGTATTGTCTTTTTCCGACCGATTTTTGTGATGATAAAGGCCAGGCGTCGCTGGGTATTCGGGCTGGGAAGCATTGGGCATTGAATGAAGGGCTCGGCGAACACGTCTCTTTGTTCAATTTTATTTTCCTTGAGTCATTTCCTTTGTGAGATATGTGACGTGACATGACCTCGAAGACAGATGACAACTTTCATGTACATCTGACTGATTGGGACCTTGAAATCACCTCGGTATTCTAAGGTAGACTCCTCAGTATAGAAATAGACCAAGGTATACTGAATCTGGCTCATCTATCTCATGCATACGTCGTCCGTAATTTGACCAAATAAGACGAGCGCTCATCTTGAGAGATAGACCGCAGCTTCCATAATCTTTGTGTATGTTTAAAATATCTGTACAGCCCAAGTAACCTGCAAACTCGACACCTGCCCTTGCTCAGACCGTAGCCTAAATACCCTCGACGTTGCCATAGATAAAATAAAAAATTATTGCAATAGAAAAGAAATAGGTATCACAGACAAATCAGACGACACAACATTCTCCATCAGCCGTAGACATCGACATCACCGGGGCTCCTATGAGCATCACCCTCAACAGCTCTTCCTTTGCCTTTCCTCTTGGCATTCAATGCCCTCATGCGCTTGATGGCACCGCCAAAATCAAGCAGATTGTAATCCTCAGGCATATGCTCACCACTGTAAATGCAGAGCACTCTCATTCCTGGTTTGTAGACCAACCCGCTGAGAAGTTTGGGAGTGATGAGGAAGTATTGGCCGCCACCTCCATTGCGCGCTGGGGCGCAAGCGATATCGACCAGACGTCCATGAACCATGCGTTCATTTCGTGGGTCCATACCTTGGTTGATCTCATCGACGACACGGAACGGAGAGGCCGACAGCGACTGGAGGGCCATCAGGTAGAAAATGGTGCTGACGGCTCTCTCTCCACCCGATTGTCGATGGGAATCAAGTATGGATAAGTTCTCGTTCTCTCGAAATTTAACTTGGATCTGGATTGACCACTGGTCGAAATTGCTGCCTCCCGGCTCGCCATTAGGACCTTCCTCGTCCTCTGCCTTATCCAAGGTGACTTGACCAGCACATCCAATGCGAGCGAAGGAGTCTGAGAAAGCGTCGCTGATACTCTTCACAAGCTCCTCTAATTTGGGCTCCCATTTACCACGAATTTCGTTGATGGCATGGTCGTACTCCGAAAGTTGATTCTGGAACTCGGAGACTTTATCTCGCAATTTCTCGATCTGCTTTTCGCGTTCCTCAAACTCCTTAATCACGTTCGCGTTGCCTCCTTGCACAAGTTCTAGATGTGCTCTTTCTGAATCGATGTCCGCTTCAAGCTGTTCCAAAGTATGCTCAACCAGTGTCGGCATGAATTCACGCAAGTCCTCTTGCTCGTTGACGACCCGTACAGCTCTGTTTGCTTGATCGACCATTTTCCCCACAGCTTCAGCTTGAGCTTTAACATCTTCATGTGCCGCTTTCACCTCGGAATTCTTCTCATCTAGCCTCGTCTTGTGATGCTGACTGCGTTCTCTTAACGTTGTGCAATCCGAAAGGCCCTCAATAAGACGTATGCTAAGTTGAGCAACTTCGTCCTGTAGTCTGCGAAGGCTCTCAACAGCATCCTGCGCGTACTGTCAGTCTCTAAGAATGCATGGGAATGACGAATTGATAAATTGTCAAAGTTTCATCGTACCGCATATTCAAGATTTGCCTTGGCCTTCTGTATTGAAATTTGATCTTGGCGACCGCGAATTTCAAGGACTCTGACTCTCATCTCCGCAAAGAGTCTCTCGATATCCTTCTTCTTCGCTTCTTGCTGACCTATTTTCGCGATGTCAGACGAGAACGGTCGGCAGACCAGAGAATAGACAGATCGGACGACTTACGAATCCTTTCAGGAATAGCCTTATAGTTGATGAGTGCTGTCTGTTTCTCGGCTTTCTCCTTTTCAAGTGTAGCCTGGGTGGAAAGAGTGAGCCAAATGTAAGAGTTCTAGGACTGCCGTTGACTTACCCTCTCGCGATCTAGTTCCTTCTTCTCCTCACCCATCCTGTGGAGTCTGCTCCGCTCTGATTCCATCTTTTCTTTTACTTGACTTACTTCATCTTTCAGGGCGAGGATTTTCCGCTCAACCTCTTGCTTCGCTACAACATCCACTGCTTGCGAAGTCCAGATCTGCGCCGGTCTAACCTGTCTCACACGGGTCGAAACCGCACTAGGGCCATACTCCCGTCGCCGGACAATCTGGTAGTTTTGCTTTCCAGCTACCCAGGAGCTTATCGAACCATTTTCCAATCTGGCGAATGTTTCATCCGAGATTCCCTGTAAGTTTATAGGGGTCTGATGCAACCGATTTTCGCTGCATAGAACGGCAAGCACAGGCTCGGGACCGCTCAGAAAGTCTTTCGCCCAACCGTCAAAACCCAGCGACCTTAGCTCTTCGTCCGAGACGGGTGGGCGAAAACTTTCTAGAGGGGTCGTTGATGTCCTGATACTAATGTCATGAAGCCTCATTTCGGTGATCAGGGCTCTTTGCAGGGTCCGGAAATCATTTCGAGTCTGCGTGGTGAAGGCAGTAAAATCCGTGCGCTGTAATAATGACTCAATCGCGTTAGCATACTTGGGGTCTTTGACCGAGCAGGTGACGACTGGCGGTCCGAAAACTTCCTTCTCAAACTTATCCTGATTGTCTTGCAACCACTTGTAAGCTTGATACGAATGCTGTGACGCTCCACGGAGCTTGGCTTCTTGCTGCCCGGATTGGGAGGCGAGACTGTGCAACTGTTGCTCTGCTCGTCTGATCTGCTCGTTCTTCGACTTGAGCTCTTCAACAAGCGGCAGTCGAGCTTGCTGGATTTCAGTCGCTTTTCCCTCAAGCTCTCTGGTTGCCAGACGCTTTTCTTTCTGCGGAGACAGTCAGCATGCGTTCTGATCACGCTCTAAGCGCACCCACAATCCTCTCATTATACCAGCCGATATCAACCTCGGCCGGTTCGTCATTGAGCTCGCGATTGAGCCTGTTGATTGTCTGCTGGATCTTGGTCGCTTCCTGCCTGTAGCTCTGGCCACTCTTTTTCTCAGCCTCAATCTGATTGTTGAGATCCTTCAGCGCATCGTCAAATTGCTCAATTTTCTTCACGATCTCTATGGCGTCGCGGTCTGCCTGCTCAAAGCATCGCTTCTTGTACTTGACCACTTCATCCAGCTGCGAGCAATATTGCTGCTTTGCGTTGACCGCTCTCAGTGCAGGTTCTAGTTCAGCCTCCAAATCCTCGAGCTCTTTTCGGAGTCTTCTTTCATTGATCTTCTTCTGCTTCAACTCGTTGCGGGCCTCTCTGTATTGAATAACTGGACGGAGTTGCTCTAACATCTCGATTTTCCTCTTGATCTGGGCCCGTTGCCGCATTCGCTCAACGTCTACTCGCTGCATCTCCTGTCTGTTCTCGAGATTTGCTAGCAAATCTTTGTCACTCTGGTTATCTAACTGCAACTTCTTTTGTTCAGCTCGAAGCTTCTTCAGACTCTCATGCCACTCGATCATCTCTGGTCCAGCAGCGGCCCTCTGCGTTGAATTAAGCAGTTCCACAGGGGTCAGCGCAGCAAACTCGCTGACTTTGTCTTGCGGTAAGAATTGGCACAAGTTGTCGATCTGAATGGCGAAGGACTGAGCGAATTTTTTAACCTGGGCGAGAGAAGCCTGCTTTCCGTTTATTGTAAACGAGCTCTTATTGCCTTCGCGTTTGATTGTTCGACCGATAACCGGATTCTTACGGAGTCCTGGTCCCTTAGCCAGTTCAATCTCAATGCTTGCCTCTCTGCAACCGTGTTTGACGAACTCGCCCGGATCTTTCGCTCGCCCTAAATGCTATGGATCGGCGGGGAACCTGTTAGCAACGGTGTTGTAATGTCTCAAGATGAAGATGAACATGCTCATACCTGCGGCCCCCATCCCAAGCCTAGACAAATTGCGCAGACAAGGGTGCTTTTCCCTGTTCCATTCGGCCCAATCACCATGTTGAGTTTCGGCCCAGGGAAGAACTCGGCAGAAGTGTAGGTGACGAAATCGGTAACTTTAATGCGTACAATAGCGCCAGGCTTGTAGCCATCCTCATCCACCTCACCATGGGCTAAAGACCTCGTTTGCGAATTGGAGGGTTGTGCAGGTCTGGGATGAGCCTGCGTAAGCTCAGGAGTGTCTTGCTCTGTGCCTTCATCACTGCCTTCGCTACCAATTTCACGGTCATCTTCTTCCTCATCGCCATCCTGAACCTGATCTAGCCGACGTCGCTTGCCGTTGATCGAATTTCTTGACACAGGCGTGGGGTCTCTTGATGAGTTGGTCGACGTTTCATCATCGTCTTCATTCTCTTCCGACCGCTGCCGACGGCGGGGAACCGTGCTCAGGGACGGCATATTGACAGAGATGCGCGACGCTCTGCATCCATAGGCGCATTTAACAGAAGGTCGTTGTCTCTTTCAACTTTCCGATACAGATCGTTTTGGGGTTCATGCGCGGATGACGCGACGCGACTCCCGCTGGGCTAATCAATCTATTCCCCCATTGGTCAGGCGGTAGAGAGAGGCAATTCTACACATGTTTCCCTCATTGCAGGCCACTGCGTCAACATGTTGCTGTGTTAGAGATCATCACGAAATAGAACAAGAATAACTGTCAATATGCCTGCTCCTAAAAATGTACCAAAGCTTGTATTAGCTGCTGCCGTCACGTCAATTACCATAGCAGGAACTCTTTACGGCGCCAGCGTCAAGACCGAACAAGAGGTTACTCAGGTATGATCTCTCAACCCATGGCAAAAGAGTATGTTGGTCTGACAGACTCGTTCTGCGTGGAATAGACTGTCCAGAAATCTCGAGAAGCTACAGTTGACGAACGAATTGCGTCGCTACGGGCTATGCGACAGAACTTGACGTCTAAGAAGGAACTTGTCGAGAGACAAATCGACGACCTTGAGAAAAGAATTCAAGAGAGGGCGCAGAAGGGCCACGGCGAGAAAAAGGAGACACCCCATAATGGGCGGTGAAACGATACATTGTGACATATTAGGACTAAGTTGACCATGGTCTTCCTTTCTTGGTCGCTATCTGTTCAGCAGCATATTGCTGGCTCAGCTGCTGCTCGGGTCCAATCCCAGCCGCCGATGGCTGATCGATCAGTGCTATGCAATCAAGCTACCGGAAAGGTTCACAGCAGTATTTCGGCTATGCTAAGATCGGCTTTAGCTGAACTTCGGCGCCGTTCAGCCTGTGATGCAATGGCTTTTATTAAGAGAATGAAGGGAGGCTGCTCCAGAACGGAGTCGTTTGAAGCCTGGACTGAGTACTTCGGCAGGTACAGGCTATAGTCTCGCGAGGTATACGTTTGGATGTCCTCCACCCCCGCCAAGGAGACGATTTAGTGGTAAAGCCTATGATCCACGCTCGGGGAGCCAGTGTGCATGGAAATTCTATATGAGTTTTGGCAAGGTCAAGAGCATATCAATTGAAATCTGGAACTATGAAATGGGGTATATCAGGGGTATGGAGTCAAAGCCAATCTATACATAACACCGAATATCGTGGTCTTTTATCAACGAGTGACATCCCAGAAACCATGAAAACAGCAAAATAATCATCAGAAATATGCTCCCACTTCATCAGTTGGTAAGCGTATCAATCGTCAAGGATACCTTGCGCAAGCGCCGCCAGACTGGCCTCATATCTTGCTGGGTTGTGATCGCTGAACATTCCTGACCCAAATCTCAACTCTCCAAAAAGTGACTCGACATCTCGGATAAACTTCAACTGTACCCTCGTTGCAGGCCGACCAAGCATTGGGTAGCCGTCCCCGCCAACGTCAGACGTAAAGGCATTACGTTGAAGAACACGCATCGTCTCCACCACAAAGACCTCTCCAGGAGGCAGGAGCTTGGGGGCACACATCTCTTCTCGAAGCGCCTTTAAAGTTTTCCACGCCCAGGCGTCTTCCCCTACGCCTTCGCCAGCGTGCAGAAGCATGGGCGCTTCATTGACATAAAATTTGTTAACAATGCTTTGCCTTAGACCTTCCCAAACTCTATATCGCACATGTGACTTAGTCCCAGAAGTGTCGCTTTTGAACGCGACAGAGACAGTGTGCATATCGTGCAAGATGCCTAAAGAAAGACTTGGTACCACATCTTGGCCGTTGACGATCGTCGTTATTAAGCCACGAGTTGCACGGCGTAGGAATGGGGACATAGTAGACGGGGGACCGTACGCATACACATGGATTGGACGTCCAGTTGGTAGATAGAAGGGAAGGTGGTTCTCTTCAGCTTCGTCGTCATTGTTTCCCTGGAGCATCCGCTGTGCGGCAGACCGAGGCGTAGCGGTTACGAACGAGGTTCCAAATTGGTCGCTGTTGGGTTCCGAAATCATAGTGGCTAGAAGTGCGGCAACGCCACCCCCTAAGGAATGGCCGCACAATACTACGCCGTAGTCTGGGAACTCTTCAAGAGCGACCCTGATGGTGATCATAACTCTTCCGCCGCCTCCCATTAGAAGGCGCCTTGCCGAAGCATGCATACCCTTGTGAACTTTCCAGCTTCTGCCTTGCCATACGAGGTCATCATAGTCGCAAGTCATATCTGTGAGAACGTCTTCAAATCCCCATGTTCCTCTGAGAGTCAGAACAACAGCTTTTGAAGCATGGTCCAGGCACACATAATGAACCAAAGGGAAACCGCTGTCAGTCTCCCCCGCAGCATTGGTTCCTCCTGCCGGGTCAACGAAAGATGACAAGAGGATTGTTGACGCCGGTAGTCCCGTGTGGACCGAGAAATCAGAGTGTTCCTGGCTGTCAGTTTCCCGGTCAGGAATAGCCTGGGCTGGTCTCGTCACACCCATCACTTTCAAGGCGTTCGATCCATATGAGGCCGAGGAGAATCGGCAAAAGCGTCTGATGTTCTGTACAAAATGTTGCTCTGGGAATATACCAGGGATTATGCCGTCACGGGTTAGCGATCTGATAGTGTCTATATCGTCGTATGCGCTCTTTCGTGCACGATGAGCAAGTATGAGTGACGTCTCCGAGCCCGCTGTTGCTAAGGAGTATATACTTGGTGCGAACGAAGTAGTCCTCTGCTGCCAACCCGACGACGTTGGGCGGCCATCTGCACCTAAAGATAAAGCTATGTCTGTCTCGGATCGCGTCAATGATAAGGAGCTGCTACTTCGCACATGGGTTCGTGTAGCGGTTGGTGAGCCTGGTCGCGTGCCTGCGGATCGGAAGGAGTATGAGTCTGATTGGGTGATGAAAGACTCCTGGTTCAATTCATGGACGGTGAAATAATCAAGCTGCGCATCACTTTGGGGCTTGTTCGGCGTTTGCACTCGACGTGTCTGACCGGGAGAAGTTCGCAACCGTGGGTCATGTAGGGGTGATCTGGGCACTCCTCTGTTCGCGACCGGCGACAATATTCTGTCCATGTGAGATCCTGTCGTCTTAATTGCTCTTTCCGCGACAGTTGGCGTTGTGGACATGTCATGGTGGGTGGATCTCTTGTCAGCAAGGAGCACTTTCTGCATCTTGTTACGCTGCGTCGCATTCTTCGAAACCCTCGGAGCCTTATCTAGAGAATATCGTTGTGCTGGTCGTTTGCCAGCCTCGTCTCTCTCGACACTAGCTGGTTTTACCTTCTGCGCTAATCTTGTCAGCGACCCTTTCCCGAAGGCACCTTTAGACCCCGTGCTTTGTTCGTTCACAGAACCACTGCTGGAAACTTCACGAGATTTTTTGGCACCGCCCTGCTTGGAATCCCGTGCTGTTCCTGTCGAAGAGCAACGTTCTGAACTCGATTCTGGTGCGATGTGACTATGAGGCTTGTCATATTCAAGATTCTCTATGTGTCCCATCGTTGAAGGCTGCTCATTGGATACCGCTTTGCTGTTGCTGATCCGCGCCTGGGAATCATCATTTTTGTTATCCTTTTGCTTTTTTATATCAAGCAAGGCAGATGGTAATGCAGGAAGACTTTTAGCAGCTGTCGGAATCTCGAGTCCTCGCACATTGGAGGTCTCAGGCCTGTGAGACGGCCTGACGTCCGCATTTTGTATTTTATTGAAAGCAGTTCTGAAGACAACCGTGTGCTTGGGTAGTTGGTGCGTAGTAGAAAGAAGACCACTGTTTTCGCCCGATCGGTCATTGTGAAATCTTTCCTCAATCATCATCATTCCCGGAGGAGCAGAAATCTCAGCATTGTCATCATCATAAATATCAACTGTTATGGTCCTTGTAGTGACCACATCGGATCTGATTGACGCACGACAACCCCGTGGAAGTTGCCTCATTATGTGTAGACGAATATCTTCGTCAGAGACTTGTTGATCGCTAGCTGGAAGCGACATTTGGGGCACCTCAACATGTTCGACCACACTCGATGGCCGCGGCACAGCATCGAAACGTTCCTCCTCATTGCCGGGCGATATGAAAGATGATCGTCTAGTCGCAGATCCTAGCGCACTCCGAGAATATCCAGCAGACTCGATTGGATGAGTGCCAATGACATCGGCCCTTACACCATTGTCTAAGATCACAACATCCCAAACAGTCTCATGACCGCCATTAAGGCGCATATGCCTCTCGGTGCTTTTTCGGCCCCATCTTTGTAGCATCGCAAAGCCGACAGTTCCGACGAGAAGGTCGCCGACACCGATATTGTCGGTACCTATTTCAGTATTGGGACTTCTGAACTCCCGTCGAATAAGCGTTATGATAGCCGCAATAGCTCTTGACGATTCGGTCGAGCCGAGTATTGCGTCAAGAGTAGACAAAAGGGCCTGAGATACATTTGCAGCAGAGGAAAGCGTTGTTGATGAGAAATGAAATGTTGCGGCTGCAAAGAACGAGGCGGAGGTGACCGTGGTGTGCAGGGCGGCCAACTGGATCCCATCAGCTTGATGAACGAGTAGAAAGGAATAAGCATAATTCAGCATACGCTTCGTTCGAGTAACGACTCCGCCTCCACTTTCCCACGCTCTCCACTGCTTCGAACAGCAACATCCCGCCCAGCTCTCGTAAGAATTCCTTCAATGACTGCTCTACTGAGTTCCAATCCGGTAAGCGTCGTGACTCGTGCTCCTTCAATAGCAATGCCACCGAAAAAACTCCCTAATTTCAGAGACAATGAGGTCGATTGAGTCAAGATTGACAGAGCAGAGGCAACTGGTCGTGGGAGTAAAGTTGCCCCTGAAGTAGCTGGCACATGACTTGCGCCATCACAATTCAGCGCCTCCTCGATATCGCCTTCAGCTCCAACCTGCTTGCCAAAAAATGATCCAAAACCGAGCAGACGCGACATTCCGAGCCATATGGTAGAAACAGGGGACTAATGTGCATTCATTTATTGAAAAGGCGGGTCGAGATCATGGCAGCGTCGCGACGTAATGCGACAATCAATCAGGGCAGACACGACCCATGGACGCATGTTGCCAAGTCGGTAGATACCCAGAAGTTGCGTCAGAATTCAGAAGAGCCTGTTCCTGGGAGACAAATCTCCCAACACGGACCAGAGGTAGATCGGTGGCAAGCCCACGAGTCACCAGCCAGACTACCTCGCGTTTGGAGGTTGATTCGTTGAGATGCGCCGGCGGGTGACATGTGATTCCGTCTTTTTCCCAACAAGTGAGCGGGTCGGAGGCGTTGCTTGGCCTGGCCATCTACTCAAAATTCAGGTATGGACAGTTCATCATTATAATTTACCCCTATCTGATGGTGTATGTGATGAAGTTTCTGAAATCGCCAGCGGAAATTCATTTCGCTCTAACACTAGAATTAGGATGAAAGTGTTCTGTGTGTGCAATGTCTCGAACGATGTCCACGACATGTGCAGATTCAATATCTACAAACTCGAGGCCAAAGGCATATCTTCCTGGTATCACATCATTGCCTTCAGGTCCCCGGGATACTGAATTTTCCTGACTTTATCCCGGTTGCACTCGGAAATCCCGCAGATACCGGCCAACCCCAGAGTGCTCCAGAGGTCAGAGAGGATTCCTCTCATCACCTGCTTTGCTCCTTGTTTTCCGTCTACGGCCAGCCCGTAGATTACCGGACGGCTTACTAGAACTGCCTTGGCCCCTAGACAGAGTGCTTTGATGATGTCTGCGCCGGTCCGAATACCGGAATCAAATAGAACGGTCATCTTGTCACCTACTGCGTCCACAATCTCAGGGAGAACGTCCAGTGAGCCGATAGCGCCATCGACTTGCCGTCCTGTGCATTGTCAGACCGAATAAAGTGAGTTTGTCAAGGCCTTCGCGTCTTTTGGAATGGATCAACTCACCTCCATGGTTGGAAACAATGATGCCATCGCAACCAGCTTTCAGGGCAAGCTGTGCGTCTTCCACATGTTGAATGCCTTTGAGGACGATTGGACCGTCCCAGTTCTTCCGCAGGAAAGCAATTTTTTCCCAGGTGTGAGGTCTGCCCGAAAAAACGTCCCCGATCCATGCCCGGGATGCCCCGACGATGTCCTCTTCGACCTTGGAGCCCGATTCCTTCTCGAACTTGGCGCGAAAGACTGGATCACTGAAGCCAATCTGATTGCCGACGCCTTTAATGAACGGTACATAGGCGTTGTCTAGATCTGCAGGTCGCCATGCAAGAGACCAAGTGTCTAGTGTAACCACAAGGACAGAGAATCCGTTCTCTTTCGCACGCTTCAGCAATGACATAGTCACGTCGTCGTCCTGGGGCCAGTAGAGCTGGTACCATCTTTTCCCATCTCCGTTCGCCTCGGCAACTTCTTCAATAGTGCTGCTACTGGCTGTACTGAGGATGTATGGTACTCCGACCTCAGCACATACTTCAGCAAGACCCGTCTCCTTGTCCTCATGGAAGAGGCTTTGAACCCCGACTGGGGCCATGAGGATGGGGGCCGGATACTCCTGACCAAAGAGATTCACGGTCAAATCCTGGTTAGCCATCTAGAAAGTGTATCATCAGTTGCCGGCAGGTGAATCCACAGTAGCTACTGCATTAAACGAACCGGCTTCATCATCCTAGGTACTCTACGAGTGGCCATTGTCTCTGCGCATTAGTCCGCAGATCCGTTTACGCTGCAAATGATCAGAAGTAACAGAGTGCGTAAGCTTACAGCTTCCATTGACGAAATGCCAACCGATTGGCATCCATGGTGGCTTTCTCGCCCGCTCCCCCCGCGACATAGTTGAATGATCGCGCTCCTAACGCCTTCCGAGCCTGTTCTTCGAGCAGGCGAGCGTCGGTGGTGACATTGGGCCTGATGCCCATCATGGCTCCACGGCCATAGATCTCCGTCTGAAACTCCCCGTAGTTTTCAGGCATTTTGGGCGCAATTGATGTACAAGAATACTCTGATACGACTGTAGGAAACAGGAATGAAGCAATGGTCAGTGAAAGACACCTAGCTTGCTTGCTATCAAGCTTCTATATGACATGATGTCAAGTCGTCGCTTAGTTACCCCCGCATAAGCGTAATTATGCCTCGGCTTGGATATGCGGAGAGTGTCTGCCTGAGGCATCACTATCTCATTCCCATCCCTAGGCTCTGGTTCTTTGGTTGGACGCTAGGCTTGAATAATTAAGCATCTTGCATGCAACTACCTCTATTGACTGTAAAAAATGATATATCTATGTCCAAGGATGATATCTTAGCTGATCAATATATCGATGCTCAGCTTATTCTACGAACGCTATTTTACCCCACTTCTGCAGAACCGTGCTTTCTAATACTCCCAACACTCAGTGTGATTAAAGGCCCATTGTGCGAAGATCATACAATAGTAGATGCTCTGATACTGTGACTGAAGCCATTTAAGGCTGTTACCAAACTCACCAGTAGACTATTAATGGCATTGACTCTCACAGCGGCATTGATGGTACGGAGGGTGACTCGGTGAGGCACTCTTGTTTCCTCTGGGATTTCCCAACGAGGATCTCCGAAGATCATAGGGATGATCTCATGTTGCAGTCACCCAAAACGACTTTCGTCCAATTGATAGCAGTAAGATATGTACTTTTTATTACATTTGGTATTGAGAATGGAAACCTGCACTGTCAATCGACACCGTACCGTAAATGATCTAGCCATTGTAAGGGACTTAAGGGTACCTTAGACTAATAGATACCTTTAATATTCAGCAAACTCTAAAGTCACTGATAGATAAGAATCGTGAATCCAATCAGTCAGGAATCTTGGCATTTGGCCACTGTGACACAGTCTCATCGACTTTTTCCGCGTTTTCTTCTGCCCTTAGATTTCTTGCTCATGCTCTGAATTTGCTTTTGGAAACCTTTATATATCGATTATGTGAACAAAAGCCTGGCGATTTCCATCGTTCTTCCATTGACAGGCCACAATCTTGTTGATCGCCTGATGAGCCAATAACAGAGACAACGTTTCCTGTAGGGAGGGTGATCCTTCCATATTATGATACAGGACATAGTCACCCTATACTTGGAAATCGGCGCCCAATAAGTGACCCGCGCAATGGAGCATGAGCAGAAATCAAAGGAGGACGTGGAGTCACCGCCGGCTGGGATCAACGAGCGCGTGTCGGAGGACTCGACGCTCGATGAGAAGAGGGAAGGGCTTCTGATTCGCAAAATCGACTTTTACATTCTGCCTTTAGTTGTTCTTCTCTATCTGTTCAGCTTTCTTGATAGAGGTAGGCTCTGGATCTTGCCTTGTCTATCTTGTCTGTGCACTGATTCTCGGCCCAGTCAACATCGGGAATGCTCGCCTGTATGGATTGGAAGAGGACCTGGGCCTGGTAGGAAATCAATACCAGGTTGCGGTGTCTATTTTCTTCGTGACATATTGCGTATGTTTTGATCCTTACCACAGCAGTCGTTGATCCACCAGTGACTAATTGTGTGGTCTTGATAGTTGTTTGAGGTACCGTCTAATCTGGTCATCAAGAAGCTGAGGCCATCACGTTATCTCGCGGTCATTGCCATTATTTGGGGTGTGATTGCGACGCTGACCGGCATCGTTCAAAGCTACGGCGGTTTGATTGCTTGTCGGCTTCTTCTAGGTTAGTGTAGAACTCTGACCGTACAAAGCTGCCTTCATGCTAACGCTGAACTTTGTAGGTGTGGTGGAAGCTGGGCTCTTTCCTGGTCTTATGACATATTTGACCCTATTCTACTCAAAAAATGAGCTCGCCCTGCGGACGGGTTACCTCTTCAGCAGCGCAGCCATCGCGGGAGCCTTTGGCGGTCTTCTAGCCTACGGCATCGGCTATATGAATGGCATTAGCGGGCTGAGGGGCTGGAGATGGATTATGATCCTTGAAGGTATCCCGACTGTCATCCTGGGCGTGACAACTTGGTTCGTTCTCGCAGACGAACCCGACACAGCATATTATCTCAACGAAGAGGAAAGAGCGCTTATTGTGCGCCGCCGCAGTCGCTATGTCGGACAGACTATGTCGGCACAGAAGTTTCACTGGGCAGATGTCAAAGAAGGCTTCCTGGATTGGAAGATCTACGCCTTCAGCATCGGCCAATTTGGTGTCGATACTATGCTTTACGGCTACAGCACGTTCCTTCCGACGATCATCAAAGGGATGGGATCATGGTCCACTCCGGAAGTTCAGGCACTTACCATTCCCTGCTATGCGGTAGGTGCACTGGCATACCTCGCCACTGCGTGGCTCAGCGATCGACTCCAGCGTCGCGCATTGTTCATCTGCATTTTCAGCGTCATCTCTATGGTCGGCTATGGTATCCTTATCTCCGATGTCTCTTCCGGCGCGCACTACTTTGGAGCACTGCTCATTGCCCTGGGATTATATGTGACAGTTGGTCTACCGCTTGCATGGCTACCAACTACCCTCCCGCGTTACGGAAAGAGGACGCTGGCGACAGGTATGCAGCTTACTTTTGGCAATGTCAGCGGGGTGATGTCGCCTTTCTTGTACAAATCAACAGAGGCACCTCGCTATGTCCGCGGCAATGCCGTGACTCTATCACTGGTCGGATTTGCGGGCATTCTTTATGCTCTAATGTGGGTTTATTACCACCGTGCGAATAGTCGCAGAGCCAATGGGCTTGAGGACGAGAAGGTTGCAGGCATGACAGAGGAGGAAATTCAGGAGCTGGGTGATAATAGCCCTCGGTTCCGATATACTACATGAGGTTTTGAATGAGTATCTGATACAATTAGACAACATTAGACAACAGGCATCTCGTTCCAGCAGCATTTTGAATTGATGATGTTATGTCACGCTTTGGCCGTAAATCTGCTTTCCAATGTAGCTTTCGAGATCCCTATCGACTAGTTAGCTAAACGGTATGTTCAGGAATTTTCCAGTCCTTTGTTCGAACAATGTCTGTCACCTCTGCAATCTATACTTGAGTCTTGTGCTCCACCGTGTTTGGTGCGACCTGTCTTGGCAAGCCGATATTTCATGCGCAATTTGAGACCTTTGCTATCGTCTTTCATCCTTTCAAGTGTTTCTATCCAGCTTGTGATGCCTCAAATTTCCTAGAGGTTACCTGCCAAATAATATGTTTGATGTTCGTCCATTGTGGACGATAATTTTTTCGGTTGTAGCCGCCATCGCGAGCATCCTCTACCACAGCCATGGTTCGCTGCTCATCTGTCCCAGGAACACGTTGTTTATCTCCCAGTCACCATACTACCCAAGTTGGAATACTTGGATCCATCCATCTACTTCCGGTGGCTCTAAGGACTCACACAGAGACTGGAATCTTCTCTATCATCTCGGGGGATATGGACCATGGGTTGAGAAACTCGATGGACATGCCGAGTCGCAAAGCATTAATCCGCCAGAGGGATGTGCCGTGAACCAGGTCCATATGGTATAGTCTCTTCCGAGTTTTGGTTTCTTCTGCGTGGTCCTGGCTCCAGACTTCTAATCGATCCTCAGATGTCGCGCCACGCAGAGCGATATCCGACAAAAAATGCCGGAGCTCGTAAGTCAATCATGTCAATGATGCTAATGTCGTTAAGAGAGCGTCAATGCGAGCAAGGATGAATCTAACCGTCGATGACCGCAGGCCATCTCTCACTTCTCAACAGAATTAGAGACGCGAATGTCGTTCTGAACGGCTCATTATCGTTCCTGAACAACTGGACCTACTTTACCTTGACCAAAACCGGCCCGTACGCAGGCACCCTGCAAGCTTTCATGACGGGTGTTCGCTTCCTAACCCGGTATGAGCATCTGGTACAGCCTGGCCGGAGGACGCGGATCTGGGCAAGCGACTCACAGCGCGTCATTGACACAGCAGCGTACTTTGCGTCTGGTCTTTTCGGTCTGGACTGGGAGAAGACCGATAAAGTTGTTCTGGAAGTTATCCCTGAGACATTCGACCGACACGCGGATACCCTCACGCCGGGAGATACATGCCTAAGATATATTGAAGACGCCGACAACGGTCATGACAACGGCTACACTATGCTGGCGCGTTTCCAGAATACCTATATTCCCGAGATAGCAGCGCGGCTCACCCTCAAGGAACAGAACGAGGAAATCGGGCCGTTGACTAACCTGGAGGTCTGGAGCATGCAGGAGATGTGCGGGTTTGAGACTCTTGTCCGAGGATCCAGTCCCTGGTGCAGTGTATTTACTCAAAAGGAGTGGGAATATTTCGCGTACGCCCGCGACGTGATTCATTACTATCGTGCGGGTCCTGGCAATCCATATGCCGGTGCGATGGGTTGGCTCTGGCTCAATGCCACGACTGCCTTACTGCGCGCTGGTCCTGAGTCTGGCACCACGTTTTTCAGCTTGTCAGTAGCCCTGACGGTGATGAATCTACCCATKATTCTCCGGACGCCAAAATTCTCATTTTAGACAAAGTCACTATACTAACTTTCGCCTGTAGTGTTCATGACGGCGATATAGCGCCTTTCCTCACTGCTCTGGAAATCTTACAAGACTCAAAATACGACCCTTACTTGCCAGTCACACATGTTGCCGAGGACCGTACCTGGCGTACTTCATCGGTGTTGCCTATGGGAGGCAGAATTGTCATCGAACGAATGGCATGCCCGTCATCAATCACGAGTAATCGGGATTCTCCCGACGAAATATTCCTACGAGTCATCGTCAATGACAGACCTATGCCTTTACCATACTGCAAGTCAGGACCAGGATTTTCTTGCCCATTAGAGGAACTCGTCGATTACGTAGAGCGACGCAGACGGGAAGTAGGTGAGTTTGGGGATGTATGTGGATTGGAAGGCGATGTTGGACACATTACGTTCTTGAGGCAAGACTAGAGCATTTATAGAAAGTCAGGTTGCAATATCGAATACTTAAAAATCAATTTAGGTATGTAGATCTGTTGGAGCCTCGTGAGAGTGCGGCATATACATGAACACTTTTGAGAGATGGTCACCCATATTCAGCTATTCAGCTTGAGTCAGTATCCGTCGAATAGTCTCCTATGAGACTGTATATTGAGTATATTGAGGAGCCCAAATTGAGTGGTGAATAATGAGAGTTGAATCTTTCATACTTCGTAGATGTACTTGGAGACCATCACGTGACCGTATCCGGGCTAACGCACTGTTTATTGCAAGAACCAAATATTTTGATAGAGCTCCATCCATCTCAATGAAAATCTGCTTGTGTTGCTACAGACAACGTACAAATACCCAGCCAGGGACAGGACTCTGCTTCTCTTAGGCCCTTATCCCTCTACACGTCCGGGCTCGCCACCCTAAAACCAACATCTTTCTTTGTTCAGCAATAGAGCTTTGCGCCGCCTCCGCCGCCCGTCGCCATGGAGTACCATTTTGTGCCTCCGGAGGAGCGCGCTAAAGATGACAAGGGGAATCTTTTGCCTTGGGGCTATGTGTACAAAGAGTGAGGTTTATCATTTACTAGACTTATTATTCTCCCACAATTTGGGGATTAGGTAACTAACATGACCTCTGATTCTAACAGTGAAGCTCGCAACCCACGACGACCACCTGAAGAAAGCGGTCCCTTTGGCAAGAGAAGAAATGCTCGCTACGAGCAAGCTCGTTCACGTACACGTACTGGAACACCAGCCAAGCGCGAAAACCCCAATGTAGCAGAGTTCGGGCGGCTGTTCGCTCAGCAACAAGAGGAGGAGAAGAGTCGCAATACCCTGCCCAAGTCCTCCTCGTCCTCCAGCCTTGACAACCCGCGAAAACAGACCGAGAAGATCGCCACCGAGTGCATACTTTACGGTTACAGGAGCAAGGATGGCGAGTGGAAGGTCATCGATAAGTACGAGAAGATCTCTCGAGGCTTGATCTGTGAGGACTATCCTCGTAGTGATCCCAACTCGGCGAGTGGCTTCGCACAACTGCTTAGTGGTGGCGACGTGGTCATTCGGCCCAATCTGTCTGCGGATGCGAACCGCAAATCGAAACGTTATGCTGGAGGCTTCCACTGGATTAAGGTGACATTTGACTCGACGATCGCTGCGGATCGCGCATGCTTCTACTCTCCCCAGGAGATCGATGGGCATCTGGTATTCTGTGAACTGTATCATGGCTCAGGACCTGCAGAGGATGCACCGATCCCTGTAGACTCGTCAAACGCCGCCCAGTTCAAGTCAAAAGCACCGCGCACCTTGACCACCTCGCATTCTACTACATTTCTCCAGACGCAGGATAAAGATCGCGCGGCCACATTACCGCGATCGTTTACCATAAACAACCTCTCAGGTGTAGCCGAATTACAAGAAGAAGAGCAATCACAAATATCGACAAGCACTGCAAGCTCTGCCACCGCCACGGGAGTCGAGCAACCGTCTGCCCTTCAACAACGCAATGTTTCCTCGGAGCCAAAACCAGAGTCTGAGTTCATGACACATATCCCCACAGTTCGTCGAACCAAATTACGGCCTATTGCAGAAGCGCTTCCGCCGCAGCCAACCGTGACAGAGCGTGTACTACGATCGATCCCTATCCTCAGTTGGTTTACTGGTGATATTGTTGGAGATGGACCCCAGCTACGTGAAGATGGAACTTTCGATTATGATAAATCTAACGCTTATTGGCGCTTCTGGTACATGGTGGATATGATTCTAGGGACCGACATTTGCGGGCTTAAGGAGGAATCGTGATATCCTTCCCATTTGCTGCCGCCGCCATCCACATCATTCATCTCACTCCCGAGTCTGAAACTGAAACTCCCTGACAGAGTGGCTCGACTGCACAGCAGCCCAGCTATACTCTGATGCAGCTCCTCTTCTCTGACGACTTGAACGAGATTCAGGAACGGGGTGTCATGTCTACCAGTCCTCGGATACCCTGCCTATGTATGATAACACTTTTGCATCACTTTCCAGGCTTCATTTGCGTCATACCAGCCCACTACGTGTCATTTCATTATCGTATCCGCGTTTTATCCTAATGATACATTGGTAATGTATGGAGAGGACTAAGGGTAGCTGTTAGAGATGAATAGAACATCCTCATAATCGACATCACCAAATCTACACTACAGATGCAAATCAACTTACGGTCCACCTAGATCATGCAGCAAATTGGCCGACATGCAGCAGCTGTACCCCAACTTGAATCGGTCGCCTACATAGTAATGAATCTCGGCGGTTGACGCTCCGACCTATCTCTCCGAAGGATACGAGCACCATTTGTGTTCAGGCGGTGGACAACCGTTTCTCAATCCATAATCTCATTCGTGTCTTCTACCGCAGCCCAACGCCGTTCCCTACCCCGAGGAGGATAACATTGGTCATCGCAAAGGAGGTAAAACCAGAATCGCACTAATGGCAACTGCACACATATGAGGGTAAAAGTCCGGTCCTATTTTTTGGAGATCAAGGTCGAGTTGTGTATCAAATTAGGCATGGCATGCAATCATGTCTTTAGGTTCTCGCTGTCTCTTCAATTTTTAGATCAAAATGAGATTTACTCAACATTGCTCTCGAAGTTCTCGCCCTCAACCAGGTCAGGGATATCGTCCTCATCCTCATCCTTCTTGCCCTCGGCACCGGCCTGCTTCTGCATGTTCTGGTAGCTCTCGGCGAGCTTGCGCAGGGAGGCGAGGCTGTCGGGGCCAAGCTGGTTGAGGATACCGGGGACGAGCTCGGTGAGCTCCTTCTCCTCGCCGTTACCGTAGAGGGCGAAGGTGTTGGAGGGGACGGAGGCGTGGACTATTCGGTTACTCCGTTAGCTTTCTCCTTTCCGGCTGTGTGGTGGACATGGAAGCTGGAAGTCGGATTCAGGTACTCACCCTTAGGGGCGGCGAAGTGGATGACGTTTCCGTCCTCCTTGAACATGTTGACCTCCTCGATGGCCTGGATGGGCTGGACGTTCATCTTCTTCAGGGTGGTCTGGAGCTTCTTGTCGTCGGCACCGGAGGACTTGTGGACCTTCTTGACCTTGCGGCGGGGAGTACCCTTTCCTCTGTCGATGAAATTAGTCGCAGTTCTGTATTGTCAATCGTGGATGAAGTCGCTTTTTAAAGGGCTTCTCAATGTTGCCGTGATCGTGATTCGAGAACGGGAGAGATGAGATGAAAGTATTATACGTACCCTAGACGAAGAAATTAAATGTTAGCTGTCAGTTGCGGACCCAAATTGCTTTCCCGTCGACTTAGAGAGAGTCGCGACATCACATTGCCCAAATGGTGCGCCTCGAAGCTCTAAACGCTTCTTCTCGAGCCGCCCGCAAAACCACCGATTCGGACACCAGCACCTCGAAAATGCAAAGGAAAGAACAAAACGTACCAATCCGCACGCTCGCCTGCATCCTAGCCAGCTTTGCTTGATCCATTTTGACGGTAATTTATGTGTGTTCGTAGAGAACCTAAATCTAGCGCGATGGTTAGAAAGAAGACGTCAATAATCCAGATCTGTGGAACTCGGTAGGGACAAAATGTGCGGCTGCAATTCTGTTGGTGGAGGGGAGGTGCGAGGTAGGATCAAGCGGGAGGGGTTCAAGGTTGCGGTACCGGGGCAGGGAGAGACTGATGAAAACACCGTCGAAATGGTGATCGAAGGACGAGGGCTGAGATGAGGTTTTGATTGACTTACCGTGACTGAGGTGGTGTTTGGTGGGAGGAGGTTGAAGTTGCTGATGATGCGCATCTCGGCTCCCCGAGCGCGAAAGTTCCAGTTGTGGTTTGTGTGGGGAGTCGAGCTCGCTAATTCGTTGCGTCGGACGGCTTCTGAGGATTTACTCTACAAGCTTACAGATGAATTCCATTATACTGCTACGACTTTCAATATTCTGAACCATCATTCTACAATATCATCATCAGCATCTCTTCTTAGGTTGCTTTTGTTGCGTTGTGGGTTTGGCTCTTGGGAGAATTGAGAGGCTTCTCGGCTAAACCCTAAATGATCTCAAGGCCCAACTATCACAAGACTCGGCGTCTCAGGAGATTTTTATAATCCTAGCTAAAGAATGTAGCTGACTAAATGGTGAAATCATTCATATCGTTCATATTATTTATACGCTGAAAGAGGAATGAATTTGCGCCTGCCCTTGATGTTGTCTTGCCTAGTAGTGAAGGTGGCTCAACTTCTCACAAGCCGCATCAATTACCGAATCCGGTAATCTCACCAACTACCTGCCTGACGCCATGCCCTGGTCCTGAAATGTTGATCACGTATATTGCACATCAAGTGGAGAGAGTATTCCATTAGATTGAAGTCCATTACTTCACTGATGGATTTATTGCTCTGCTTTGAAAGGAAAATAGTTGCGCCACGGGTGTTCTTCCTGGAATCCCAGGACTGATTTGATCTTGGCATTGGTCAATGGAGCCTCGAACTCCTCCATCTGTCTTGTAAATGGGACATTGGGACATTGCTGCTTGAGAAACTCCTCTGTCGGGGTCGTGCTAGTGATAGTATCATTCGTCGCGTTGAAGACCTGAAACCCAAGTCCCGACTTCCGAAGTCCCAAGTCGCACATCCGACCTAGGTCACGGGCGTCCGTATAAGACCAACCGTGGACCTTCCATTTCGCAGGTTCATAGACGTAACTGTGAAAGAGTTGTTGTTCGTATTCTTCAGGTGCAATCACCCGCCCAATCCGAAAGACATAGATATCGGTACCGAACCGACCCGCGAAACCCCTTGCAACTCGCTCCCCGCAAACTTTGGCAATCGCGTACGTATCGGTTGGATTCGCATCGACTTCTTCGTCTACCGGGAAAGACGGATAATCTCTGTCACCCAGTGCGAAAGACACGCCGTACACCGTGACACTGCTAGCAATAATGATCTTCCTGATCCCTAGTTTACAGGCGGCCTCGATCACATTGTACG